GCCCATGGATCGTAGGGCCAGCTTGGGACTGGGGGTGTGGCTCAATATTGAAGCTCTTGCCTAACGTGCATGAGGGCCTGGGTACAACCCCCACAGTGTACAAAAGTAGAGAAAAGGAGGGGCAGTCTCCAAAAAGCACAGTTCCTGGGGCAGATAAAAGCAGAAAAAGAGAGGAGACATACAGGTATGCAGGAAAAGCTCAAAGTCTTGTTTGTCAAAAAGGAAAAAAAAAAAATGATGTCACTTAATCTGTTCTACCACCAAGAAAGCAGAAGAATCCAAAAAGATAAGTAGGCATTTTGGCAGAAGGGGGAGCCATTAAGCCAACTATGCTGAGGAACATCCTAGGTTTTAAAAAACGAACATAAGAAAAATGGTAGGACCAAGAATGGAGCCGGGGGAAGAGCACTTGTGTAGCCTGCAGGACACCCTGCATTCCATCCCAGCATGGCAACAACAACAACAAAAGTTATGTCCATAGGGAGCCATTGCTAAAGTTCAGTGAAGGGCCAGGTGTGGTGCCACACACCTGTAATCCCAGCACTCAGGAGGCTGAGGCAGGAAGATCACTACAAGTTTGAGGCTAGTCCGGGTTACACAGTGAGTTCAAGGTCAGCCTAAACTACATAGTGAGACCATGTTTCAAAAAAAGCCCACTTCTTACTATCTGTCTTTTATTTTGGTCTTTATTTACAATTTGGGTTTCTCATATAAGAGAACTCATGTGCTACTTAAGCTTGTGTGTCTGATTTATTTCACCTAACATTATAGTCTCAAGGTGTGTTCATTGTCCTATGAATGACTCAAGTTTATGTTTCCTTATAGCAGAGTAATACTCCATGCTGTGTAAATACTACATTTTTTATTCATTCATCTGTTAATGGACATATAGGAATTGTGCTGCTATAAACATGGGTATGCATATAACACTGTAATATGATGTCTTTAACTTTTTCAGGAAGATGAAGATACCTAGAAGGAGTACAGCTGGGTAAAATGGAATGACTAATTTTAGTTTTTTTGAAGAATCTCCATATTGATTTCCATAGCAGCTGAACTAGTTTACATTACCAGCAACAATATAGAAGGCTCTCCCCCTAGCCTCATCAGGATTTATTATTATTTTACTTCCTGATAATAGCCATTCTTTGTGGATAAGATGGAATCTCAGTGCTGTTTTAGTTTGCATTTCTCTAATGGCCAGTGATATTGAATATTTCTTCACATATTTGTGAGTCATTTGTATTTCTTCTGAGAAGTGTCTATTCATTTCATGTGTTCATTTTTTTTTTGATTGGGCCTTTTATTTAGAGTTTACTTATTTATTTAGTTTTTGTTCTTTATGTATTCTGCATATTAGTCCTCTGTCTGAGGAATGGCCAGAAGAAAGCTTTCCCATTCTGTAGGCTGTCTTTTCACTCTGTTGGGTTGTTTCTTTTGCTGAGCAGAAGCTTTTTAACTTGATATGATCCTGTTATTGGATGGGGCAGGGACCAGCAGTGTTCTCCAGGTTCTTATTTGTCCTGATCAGTGAACTGATTGGGACAATTGCTAGATGTGAATGATTGGCATTTATTTTTGGGAGGGGACCAGGAATCAAACTCAGGACATTGTGCTTTCCAGGTAGGCACTTGTGCCACTATATCCCCAACCCACCAGTTATTTCAGTAATAAGTTAAAGGATAGTGCAAAAGAAGAGCTCAGAGAGAAAAGGGTGCTTTGAAGGAAAAAGAGAAGATAAGTCCTACAAGCAGAGTGGTCCACTGCAAGAAGAAGAGAGTAGTGGCACAAAGTCAACTCTGCCATCCTTTGATGTCTTCTTTGATAGTTGATTCAGGTGGTCCCACTTGATCTCATGCTAGGAGACTGATATCAGGTGCCAGGTTTGGCGTGTTCTCACAGCAGAAGATTGGTACGTGGCGCAGGGCCCGGCCTGCTCCTGTGTCAGGCTTGGAAGCTGCTGTTCTGCACCCGTGATTAGTAATTCTCCTCAGTTGGCAGGTCATGCCCAACTGCTCCAGCCACGTTGTTGCCCTGGCATCCTACGCCCATTGTATTTATTGATTTTTATTCCTGTTTCCTTTGCAAGCAGGGTTCTGTTCAGAAAGTTCTTTCCTACTCTTATGACAGTAAGAATTTTAGCTATTTTGTCTTCCAGCAGATTAAGTGTTTCTACTTTAACTTTTGGTTCCTTGATCCATTTTGATTTTGGTTTAGTACATGGGGAAAGATATGGGACTAAACTCAGTCTTCTGCATGTGGATACTCAGTTTTCCCAACACCATTTATCAGAGAGGCTATCTTTCCTTCTGTGTGTGATTTTTGCCCCTTTGTCAAAGATCATACACTTGGCATCCTATATTCTGTTCCATTGACCCCCATGTCCATTTTTGTGCCAGTGGCATACTGTTTTTATCACTGTAGCTTTGTAATATAACTTCAAGTCTGGGATTGTGATGACTCCGATTTTTTCTTGTTGCCCAGAAATGCTTTTGCTACTCTGGGTCTCTTCTGGTTCCATACGAATTTTAGGGTTGTTTTCTCCAGTTTGGTGAAAAATGATTTTTGTATATATGAATGCACCCAGTCACCACATCTCAGATAAAAATATAAAAGAATTTTAGCATTGTGAGGATTTCCTGTTTCCCCTTGTAACTATATTATCCCCCTGTACTACCCTTCTCACAGCCCAAACATGGCCTTGAAATTTCCTCCACTAGATCAATCAGTTTACAGCACATAATCCCAATCTCCTACAAAATCTCAAGACATGGGCAAAATGTACACAAATTTTCTGCCAGAGTGTAAAAGACATGGCTTCTAGTCCAACTGCCCCTGGAATCCATGTTCCCAACTGAAATCTCCTGAGCCTGGCCTTTGCTCTCTGAATTTCTTTTGGCATTCCGTATTCTGAGCTCTGACCAGTACTGAACATCAAGCTCTGCTTACAGGATTCTAGGGCTTCTGTAGCCGGCATCGTCCAACCTTTCCAAGATCTTCCTGTGAACCAACTGCAAAAGCTCCTAAGCCACATGGCTGGGTAAAGTGAAAGCAATGCCTCCACTCGTGATGTAAAATCCATCACAGTCACTGTCTTCATTACTGCAACACAGCCCCTAATACCCACAGTGTAAAGGAGAAGTTTATCTTGGCTCACAGTTCAGTGCACGGTCAGCTGGCTCCAAGGCAGAAGTAGCATTGTGGAAGGGGCTGGCAGAGGAAAGCTGCTGGTCCTACGGCATCCAGGAAGCAGAGAGGGGAGGGAGACAGACTCTCCCACATCATGTCCCCAGGGACCCACCTCTTCTGACCAGGCCCCACCTTCTGACGGCACATTCAGCTGTGAGCTCACAGGTGAGTCAGTCCACTGATGAGTGTGGCATCCCATGACTCAGTCTCCTTCCAAAAGCTCCACCTCTGAACACGTGGGGTTGGGAGGCGTCAAAGCCATCACTCTGCTCCGGTCCACTCCAGTCACCCTTCCAGGTAACCCCATTTTGAGTCCTGTCCAAAATTAGCTCATTTCAGAAAAATAGAAAAGAACTGAATCAAATGTTAGAGCACAGACATTCTGCATTTAACCACCAAGTTCTATTCCCGCAGCTGGGCCATTAATTGAATTGGTCACTAAATGAAGAATGCATACAGCATGTGCACTACAATATTCAGAACAAAGATATGGCCAAAGGAAACTCCAACTTGATTGTGCTTTTGTTTGCATAACTCTTCCATGCAGTACTGTAATGTACAACAGGTACATTACAGTAAATGTGTAATGTACTACATTACTGTAAGAACTACCGTACTGAGCTGTACAAGACAATCAGCAAAAATGACAGTACTATATAAACAAGGCGTACTGTACAACAAAGACTCTGAAACTCTATAAACAAGACATGCAGAATGCACAGAGAGAAGGTGGGCCATAAGTCTGAATGGCGTGTCTCGGTCGTAAGTCCAAGCAGCTGTTAAACAGGAAGGCCTTTAAACGAGGAATATCTATGTATACTGTACATGACTGAGGGCTGGGGATTTAGCTCAGCGGCAAAAGCGCCTGCTTGGCAAGCGCAAGGTCGTGAGTTCGGTTCCTGGTACCGGAGAAAAACCCAAAAAAAAAAAAAAAACAAAAACAAAATACATGACTGAATGCTTCTACTAGTCCTGAGGATGTATGCGTATTTTTGCTCACATCTGTGGTTTGTTTTTCCATTGCTGAGAAGGCTTCCATCTGTCAGGAACCACTAGGTTTCGGGTTGTTTTTTTTTGGTTGTTGTTTTTCATTCACTTATTGGTGGGTGCATGGGTTTCTCCAGTTTTGTGACATTTCCAAACAGAGTTTCTGGGAATTTTTTTGTTTCCTGTTTGCGACTTTGTGACTCAATATGGTTCACAGTGAGATGGTGAGAGCAGAATGTAGGATCAATTTCCAGCTCTGCTCTTTACCAGCTGTGTGACCTTGGGCCAGTCACCTAACCTCTCTGTGTTTCAAATTGCCCCCGATGTAGAAAGGAGGTTGTATCATCTACCAAAGGTTGTGTGTGGGGGGTGAATGAACATTAGATGAATGAACATTAAAGCAGTGGAACAGCACCTTTATGACAGTAAGCAGTAAGTAAATATAAGCAGTGGTGATTCATCCCCAGGTCCCAAGTCAGTGAAAGACACCATAAATGATGATACCAGCAAGCCAAGGCAGCAGAGCCTGGAGTCAGCGGAGACATTGTTTCTGCAAAGACTAAGGGTGTAGTATGCCCAGCCTTGCTGTAGGTAGAGCAGGCGTAACAAAGGAGCCTGATTTTACAAGGTATTAATACCATTAAAGTGCCCCACAGTTGGGCCGTGACAGAAGTAGGCCAGTTCTTTCCAGCACGGGGCTCACACCGTTTCCAACCCTTGCCTGAAATTCCTGGAACCCTTGCCGCGCTGTCAGATGCCGGGCCCTCCCTCTCACTACTTCCCGTGCTGGTACCCGGTTCCCTGTTTCTCTTCCTCTGTGACAGTAGATTCAGGGAGTGAGGAACAAGGGGTGGGACATAAAAGCTGCAGTTCCCGCCAGTCCTGAGCACTGAAGGACAGCGGTGAACATGACAGACTCCAAGGAAGCCAAGGGGCAGCGGCTGGGCCCCCTGGGTGAGGCTGGGATGGGAATCTGGGAGTTTGGGGAGCGGGTGCAGGGAGGTCAGCTTGCGTCTCAGCCTGTCCGGGCCCTGACTGATGCTCTGCCCACTCAGATGAGGAAGAGCTGATAGCCGGTGGCACCAGGTATTTCATAAAAGGCCTTGGATTCCGACCAACTTACAGCTTCAAGGACATTGCAGGTAGGCAATGGGGGTGGGCAGGAGAAGCCAGGTTCTCACAAATTCCTGTCCTGAGGAGGTGGAGAATGGGAATCTGGTCTTCTGGGTGCTAGGGAGCGGGAGTTGGGTATTTATTAATGGTCCTGGGGAGATAAGACTGAGGGCCTGGTGTCCTGGGAAGGTGCAGACTTGGTCTGAACTGCTGGGCACTGTGGAGTGGACAGTGGGGGCTGAACTCATGGGCCCTACGGAAGTGAGAGCAGAAGATCTGGACACCTGGGCTGTGGAGTGGTCGAGGCTGGGTACCTGGATTTCTGAGCCGCGTGGATGAAGAGGCTCGGAGCTGGGTGCTTGGGTCCTAGGAGGGAGTCTGAGATCTGGACTCCTTGGTCCTGGGCAGGAGGGTCTAGAATCCAGTGCCCTAGGGAGAGAGGAAGAGACCCTGACACGCTGGCCCTCCCCACCCTCCCCTTCTCCCACAGGGGGCCCTGGCCACGGCTCGAGAGTCCTGATGCTGCAGCTGCTCTTCCTCGTTCTCTTCACTGTGATCCTGGTGGTTGTCCTTGTGAAAGGTCAGGAAAGCCTTCGGGCGGGATTCTTCCAGCTGCGGCAGCCAGGTCTATGAGAGAAGCAGGGCTGAAGCTCCCGTCAGATCCTTCAGACTTCTCCAGACTCCTCTGACCTCTGCTGCAGGGGAGGGGAGGGAGGAGGAGCAGGGAGGCCCTGGTCCACTTACGCTTGCTTTTCAATCTTCTCTGGGGGTCAGGTTTCTTCTGCTTCAAATGCTGTTAAACAAGACAGTGACTCTCAGACATGATGTTCTTGGGACCCAGTACAATCCAAGGCACACAGTGGGTGTTTAATAATTGCAGCTTCTTTTTAACTTGATACAGTCTCCAAGGTCCCCAGCTACCAAGAGCAGAAGCAGGCAAAACAAATGATCAATAACAAAATGAACCAGCTAAAGAATGGAATAGGTGAGTGACTGGACACTAGGGTCCCCCGGGCCTCTACAGCCTGAGTCACCCACCTGGTTTGAGTCCGTTTCCTCACCTGTGAAACAGGAACACAAGATAACAGAAAACAATAGAACTTTGTGTGCTCCAGGGGCCACACGTACACTAGGCACTGCGTCTCCTGGCCCCTGTTCTGAGCTCAATCTACTGCTCCTCATTTGGAGGAGATGGAGCCATGACTCCTGGGTTCTCCAAGGGTAAGGAGGGGGCTCAGGAAGCAGAGAGGAAAATGGCTCCTCTAGGGTACAGTGTCAAGGGAGGGCCTAAGTCTCAGGGACTTGAAGACTGCACAGACAGGGACATGGTCAGCCAAACACGGGTCCACTTCCCCCAACAGGCCGCCTGTGCCGCCCCTGCTCCTGGGACTGGACATTGTTCCAGAGAAACTGTTACTTCTTCTCCAACTCCAAGCTGAACTGGAGCAACTCTGTCACTGCCTGCCAGGAAATGAGGGCCCAACTTGTCGTCATCAAAAGTGTTGAGGAGCAGGTACCCCGGAGGGACCTTGTCCCGGTCTGGGGCATGGATTTAACTATCGATCAAGTGAGGAGGAGATGGTTATTCCGACGGGGTTTTTGGATGAGGGGCTGCTGACTCCACTTGGAAAGGAAGGATACTCGGGTATGAATGTGAGACTCCCAAGGGTCTTGCAAGGGGACATGCACAAGTCCTAAATGTGAGTGCGGGCCTTGAGGAACACCTATAATGTAACTTATCCCAGCCGGTGTGTGGGCCAGAGTTTAACAACTGTCTTTGCTGGGTAAAAAATCTTTATGTGTACATTCTGACAATTTCCTGGCATAAACATTGCCACCGTGGCTAGCTTCAAGCTACCAGTGGGGCGTCACCCAATATAGAGCTGGAAAGAGATGATGCACAAAATTGCCAGTCCTGACCAGGGATGATCTGCCTCCAGCACGTTCAGTCCAGTAAATCTGTGTGAACAGAGGCCAAGGAAAAGTGACTCTCACGTGTTACTGGTCATCCAAAACAAGGTCTGTCTGCTATAAGCATACAAAGTAGATGTGAAAACATCAAGTTTCCAAGAACATGTTATAAAGATAAACACATATGTCTCCAAGTATGTGTGATGAGAGAACAACAGTGCACATTCCATGTGCAATTCAGAACACATCTACCAGCATAACAGAGATGTGAAAAGGACTCAGAACTCTGGAATACATCAGGGGGTTCATGTTCTAGCACAGTAGAAGGCTGAAGGTCAAACCACAAGGAGAGTTTCCTCCCAAGATGTTAGGGGGACACTACCTGAAATGTTGGGGGCAGAACTGCCTTCTGACTCCTCCTCTTGCCCTCCAGAACTTCCTGCAGCTGAGTTCTAAGAATAGAGGACCCACCTGGATGGGACTCTCAGATCTGAAAAAAGAAGGCGTGTGGCACTGGTTGGATGGTTCACATCTGTGGTTCAGGTAGATCATGGGACAAGGGAACATCCTGCAGCATCGCTTAGGCTTCTGAAACTGTGGCTTAGATACACTTTTGGTTCCTCCCCACTCCCTGGTCCCTAGTCATGACAGTCTATGATATCTACTGACTTGAGGAAGATGGTCTTCATACTCAAATGCAGATAGGGTGGCAGGTACCTGAAAGTCCACCGTCAGAGCTGCAAGGGGAGCTCCCAATCGGGTGAGTGATTGAAAATATAGCAGATTAATAGAAAATCTGAGATAGAGTAAGCTCAAAGCTCAGGAGAAAATTCCCACCAAAAGGGCAGCTTTTATGCTCACATTTCCCAGGAGAGAGAGTATATATCACGTCATAGGAGGTCAAGTGGGGAAAGACCGGGCATGGTCAGGAGGTAGAGGGTGGCAAAACTGTGGACAAGAGCCTTCCATGTGGTGTCCATGTGAAGGCATCTCTGAGACACTGAGGTTAGTGATTTTTTTAAGGTAGGTCTGTTTGGAGTTGGAGGTGTTGCCTCTTGTGGTCTGGTACTTGGCCCTTGGCAGACGCTCTGTGGCCTAGAGTGCAAAAGTCCAACAAGGGAAGTGGGTGGTGGTGTGTAACGTAGATTGCTTGGTTTATATCTGAAAATCACCCCCGCTCCAGGGAGCAGCTCCTCCTGAGGCATGGGGGCATGAGTCAGTGGCCAAGCACCAGTGACTTATGTATGTCATTAGGTGTCCAAAACAAAGCATGTCTGCTATATGACTGTAGGATGCACAGGAAAAGATAGTTTCCAGGAGCTTGAAATACAGGTCACATGGTAGTGCAATCTGGGGCAGAGGATCACGTTCTCATGGGTTTTGCAGGTTCACGAAGTACTGGCTTCCAGGGGAGCCCAACAATGACGGGAAGGAAGACTGCGCAGAATTTAGAGGCGATGGCTGGAACGATGGTAAATGTGAACGTGAGAAATTCTGGATCTGCAAGAAGCCTGCAGCCTCCTGCTCCAACATATGAAGTCCAGTCTTTCTCTTCAGTCCCTGCAGCTCAAATGTCTTTATCAGGTGGAAGAACTTTGCCCACATTTATGTGAGTTTCTTTTCCCTCTCTGAGGGCATCGAGCTCTTAACAACAGCTCTAGGACGCTTCTCTTTCCATTCTTCATCTCCTCGGGAGTTGAGTCACTGCTCTCCTTCCGGCCTTCCTTCCACCTGGCTTTGAGGTCACGTTTGTAGTCCATCTTTGAAGACAGTGTGGGACACATTCAGGGGCTGGGTGTGTTCCGTTGATGTATCCTGTCTTCTTTGCTGAGATCAGAGGGTTTGCATTGCCATGTCCAACTGCTGCCATGTCCTCTGAGATTTTATCCCACCCCCACATACTTTCCTTTCATCTACTGAACTTCCAACCACCTCCCCCGGGACCCTTTGCCCGGGGACTTTGCCTAGTTGCCGTGGTTCACCCTTCAGGCTGGAAGCACCAGGGAACTGATGCCCCTAATCAATCATAACTCTGTGCAGATGGTGTATAAACATCCTGGCTTCTTTCTCAGTCAACCAACTTCTGGACCTGAGGTGGGCCTCCTAGACCTGTCTTCAACAAGGGACATGTGAACCCCACTGCTGTGAGTTCTACTGGAGGCAGCCACCACCCGTCAATCACTCCCCACCCATACTCTGCTACAGGAAGCTTCTCCAAAGTCAGGGTGCTTCCTAGAGGAGCTCACACAGAATGAGGTACAGGATGATAAAGATCTGGCTGTGTTGGGCCAACATGGGGCACTAGTGAAGAACCAACTGTTCCAGAGCTTGCAGTATGGGCACTGATGCCTGCTGTCAGACCCTCTCTACTTGATTTATAGTTCTGCCCATTGCTGTTTCGTCTTTGTCTGGATTCTTGAGTTATGATAGTGTCTTCTGCTATTCTTACTGAGCCCCTCTGACCATGCCTGAATTTATGGTAGGGAGGTGACTTGAGTGGAGGCTGGACATCCCAGGATGGGGCTGGTCACCAGAAAGACCAAATAAGTGATAAAACAGTTGAAACTTTCTGTCTCATCTGTCCAACTCCAGGAAGGATGGAGATTGGAGACAGCTCTGTAAAAATTCTTTTGCAATGAGATTTAATGCCTTCCCAGGTTGCTGAACACGTGAGGCTCCGGAGGGTGGCACACCTGGAGAGGGCACGGAAGTGTCATGAAACTTCCCCTCTCTTTCCCTATTCTCTGTATTTTTTCCATTTGGGTGTTTCTGAGTTGTATCCTTTTAATAAACCAGTAAATATAAACAAAGTGTTTTTCTCAGTTCTGTCACTCGCCTAGAAAATTAATAAACCCCAGAAGAAGTTCTTCAACCCTCCAACTTGTGGTTGGCCTGGAAGAAATGTGGTCCTGAGAAGCCCTTTTCCTGGCATCTGAAGTAGGACAGTCTTGTAGAACTGGGCTCCCCACCTTGTGGAACCTGATGCTAACTTCAGGTAGTTAGTATCAGAATTGGAGGTTGCTTCATGTAAAAACCATTCCGCAAGGTTCCTGTCTCTTTTACCTCTGTTGAACCCAGAGAGCTCCGCCATAGACAATTTGCGAGCTAAATCCCATATTCCACCTCAGTGATGTTTTTGCATTAGTGGTTTTCTCCCTCATTTTCTTCTTTTCAACTTCATTGACTTCTGCTCTTACTTTCTTTACTTTCTTCAGATTTCCTTTTGCTGGATTTGCTCTTGTTCTCGTTTCTTGAGGAAGTAACTTAGACTGCTGATTTTTCAATAATTCTTCTGTCAACCCATAAAGGTAGAACAATTTGAAGACCGAGTTTTCTTTGTGTTTGATTCTAGAATTCTGCAAGTCTTCATTCCCTGAGGTAGAGTAAATGTTTCAACGGTATCAGCAAGGCAAGCTGTCTTTTTAAAAAGACAGAGTGTCACCACTAAGTAGTTCAGGTTGGACTTGAACTTGCTGCTGTACCCCACCTCAGCCTCTTGAGTACCAGAATCACAGGTGTGCACTATGACACATGGCTGCAGGTTCTTTTTATAGACAGAGAAGGACCTGAAGAAAGAAGGAATAATAAAAAGTGGACTGGTCATGCCCAACTTACTTTCCTTTTAAAGTGGGGACAGAGAGACAGAACAGTGGACAAACGGTGTATGTATAGTTCTTTAAAGTTTTCTCTTTTTTAAGGATTAAGCCAAAAAGAACTTAAATATCAGCCTTATTGAAGCTAGCTTGTTTGGAAAATTTGGCTATTATTTCCCTAAGGCCAAAGTCTTGGAAGATCAGGTAAACAGCTTAGTTGCACGTTTGTGGGGAAGTAGCATGCGCAACTCCACTTTGCTTTGTAGCCTACTTGTTTCAGGGCAAGTAGAATAGCATTTCTAGTGCTATGAATTTCCCTCTCTGCACTGCTTTAGCTGCATCCTACACATATTTACACATTTTTTCATTTTAATGGACTTACAGGTATTTATACATTTCTTGTTCATTTTAATTGACTTATAGGTATTTTTATGTCCCATGAGCCTTTTTATTTGAATAGTGGGTTATTTCATTATGAGGGATTGTTTAATTTCTACCATTAGAGAATGTACTGTCATGTCTTTGTCAGCGATTTCCCACTGGACTCTTACAGTAGTCTTGATGCAGAATGTCTCCCAAAGGCTCACCTGTTAAAGGCTTCGTACCCAAGTCATGGTGCTACCGGGAGGTGTTAGAGCCTTTGCAATGTGTTGCCTGGTGAGAGGACCCCAGATCACTGAGGATGTGCCCTAGAAGTAAACAGCGGAATCCCTTCTCTTTCTTCTCTTTTTCCCTTCCTGGCTATGAAGTGAGTAGCTTTACTCTACCATGCGCTCTGCACGGTGCCATGTACCAACCCACCAGAGGCCTAAAATGCAGTGGGTGCACCTGATCATGGAGACCTTCACCACTCCAAACAAAAATAAATGTTTCTTCTTTATAAACCGGTTATCTCAAGTATTTGTTACAGTGACAGAGAGCTCACTTAACATAATTCCATTTTGATAAGAAAATATGCTCTATGGCTTCAATTTATTTAAATGTATTGAGTATTACTCTATGTGCCTGAATATGGTCTGTATTGGTGACTGCTCTACGGGCACTTGAGAAAATTGTGTATTGTGGGTATTCTGCAGTTGAGTTGAATATGTGTGTGCATGCATGCATGAGGAAGAGAGAGAGAGAGAGAGAGAGAGAGAGAGAGAGAGAGAGA